GTCATTACACGAATTACGCTGCACTCATCTCAACATGGGAACAACAGAGTCATCTTGGACCATTAACCATTGATTGTCTTGGCCTGCTCATTTTTCTCTCCTCTCAAACCCTCAAATCTCAAGTCAAAGCGACCATCTCATTTCGTCGTCTCGAACTATGTCCTGTTCCTCATCACCCAAGGGCGCGCTCGCTCGCTCATGATCTCATCCATATAATTGCCCTTCTCAACGCGCAACATCCACCAAGAGGTATCTCAAGAACCTGTGTATATTACCAGAAAAAAAGGGAACGACTCATGCAGAAAAGCAAACTCCTCGAAACACCAGATCCCCATCATTCACTCTACCGGAACCTTGCCCGGCAGCGGCCCATAACCTCGCCTTGGCACACTAGTTCTGCGCTGAATTCGGAGCCGTCAAGCGTCAGATAGATGTCGAAGTACACCCGGTAGAAGGTGCCTTGTGGCGTGTCCATCCGCTCAAAGTCTTTCTCTAGATTCTTGCGCGAGAGATCCGAAGTTAGGGTAACGACCTCCTTGATACCTGTGGGATTGTTAGTGATGGTGCAGTTAGGAAAGTCTCAATGGTGGAACTTACGAGGATCCTTGGTATACTCTGGGCACACATCATCATCGCAAGCGTACAGGATGTCCTCGTACATGAGGGTGGCACCGGGCGCCACCTGTCGGAAGAAGGACACCTTCACCGGCTCGCCAATCTTCACCTTTTGTCCCTTCTGCACAAAGATCTGTCTCGTAAACTTGCACCTGTCCTTGCCGTCGAGCGACGGGACACGGTACGCCTCGGGGTGGTAACCCTCCTTGAACGGCTGGAGCGTGGCCATGAGGTAGTGGCGACGGGCGATACGGTGTGTGATGACACGCTCCGTAATACCAGCCGTCACGGCACCCTTGACGATGGCCGCCACCGAGTCCATGGGTCGGACAACCTTGGATTGGAACTGAGGAGGCACGTGCAGCTTGATCTGCTGGAAGAGATACTCTGACGCACCAAAACCACCGACGACGAGGATGTTCTGGAGAGTCCGGTTTTGCGCCTGGATAGCGATGATCTGGTTCCGCACCAGCTCGAGGATGCGGTTGACGACCGGCTCGAAGCATTGCAGGATCTCTTCGTTAGTGAAAGTCATGTACCCTTCCTCAATGCCGGCCTCTGGGAACTCGGCTTCGATACCGACGTCGACCGCCCACTTCTGTCCGTTGTTGCGGAAGTCGGCCTTGATGCGGTTCTCGAAGTCCATGATGCACTTTGCGTACACACGACCAGCAGTCTTAGACCCGTCTGGCAGCTTCATCTTACGGATCTTGGTTCGTAGGATGTTGCTGAAATTCCGGTTGAGCGCCGTAGATCCGCAAGAGTCGCCAGAGCCGGCAGTGCACTCAGCGACTGTGAACGGGTTCTCGTCTTCAACCTCGTACGCGATCAAATCGACAGTACCACCACCGCAATCGACAATCAAAACGGCGTCGTGCACCTTGAGGTTCAGGAGACCGGTTTTTGAGCAGAAGAGCGCAGCTGCTTCAGGTTCACTGACAAGTGTCAGACGGTTGTCGTTCTCGTCGCGCAGGAAGCCGGCCTGGATAGCAGCGGCCCTGGTGGCAGCCTTTCCGGCATCGTTCCAAATAGCAGGCACGGTGAGATAGTAGCGAATGTTGCGCTCCTCTCGATTAAACACCTCTCCTAGAGTCTTGAGAAGAGCTGCCCGCATCGCCTGGCGAAGCTTGAACAGGTAGTCGGCCGCAACATCAATCTCCGACTTTCCTGGTGGGAGAGGCGGCAGGTTGATGGGGTCAATGTATGTGTTTCCGGATAACATCAGCTGCAGTTTGAACCACTCGACCTTCTGCACACCAGGCTTGGGGTAGCCCGTCGGGGCGAGGGCATCGGCAATATCGGGGCCCCAGCCAACAACTTTCTGGTATTGGTCGTAGTAAAGCACGGTAGGGATCTGCGTCGAGTTAGCGGCGATTGACTTAAGACATCGCTAGTTTGACTGACCTTCTGTTTCGTATACGAGCCCGCGCCCGGCCACTCTGTGATAATATCCTCTTTTGCCTCGTTATTAGTAGCGAATGCGAAAGCAACGCCGGAGAATGTGGTTCCCTGGGAGCGGTAACAGTCAGTGATCAAGACTCGAGAGAGCGAGGTGCACCCAGGGCAACTTACAAAGTCGATACCGACAATCAGCTGGGCTTTACTCCTGCTGTTGCCCTCAACCTCAGCTGCGTTGCGACCATAAGCAGCGTTGGGCATGCCGCCTGGTTGCGGCGCGGGAGGAGGGTATCCGGCAGCTCCAGCATAACCTGGAGGGCCACCTGGACCGGGAGGAGGAGGACCGCCCATGGGCATCGGAGGAGGGTAGCCGGACACGGGCGCGCCGGTGTGGATTGGAGGAGGGCCGCCGACCATTTGCGTTGGCGGTGTCCGCGTAGGACCCTGCTGTGTCAAGGGACTCTGGCGACCGACTGGCGGTGGACCGGGAGGGTAGTTCGCCGGTGTGTAGCTGGGCGGTCGTGGGCCAGGAACTTGGTTATTCATCGGGATGCTCTGCTGAGAAGAAGTGGACGCGATGGACGGAGCGGGCCCTGGACGGGTAGGAAACGGGTGCGGTATTTGAGGGGCACCAGGAGGCGGAGGTGTTTGGCTATGTGGTAAGTTCGGATCGTGCTGGATGCTGGCGGTAGATTTGCGTTTTCCGAAACCGAAGCCTTTCAGGCGAGAGTTCATAGAACTCATAGGGGGAGTACAGAGTATTATAAGGGGAAGAGAGCCTCGAGGGGTGGGTGGATTTTAGGAGGGGGGGGATGAGCCTCAGGCCAGCGGGCGGGACGAGAGCGAGCGAGTGCAGAAAGAAAAGCGCAGCAAAGCCGGCACCTGGCTGAGAGAGAGAGAGAGGGGATGGGTGAGAAATTAGGAGGGACTATGTCGGACAGCAGTGTCCTGTGCTTCTCCGTTTCTGTAGGACTGGCGCGATGGCGGGGGGCGGCTGACAAGAGGAGTGCAACCCCACCTCTTCTTTTCTTTCAGGCCTCAGGACTCGTTGGGAGTGGACCGTTTGCCGTTTGCCGTGTGGCTGATTTGCTATTTTGCGCCCAGCAAGACAGCTGACCGACGCTAACGACAGTTGGGAACTCTCAGTTGGAGAGGTAAGGTAAGGCTGAGAGGAAGGAAGCGGGTTCAGGACTTTGTGCGTGGCCGGTGTGGGTGGTTGGGCAGTGCTGTGCAGCTGTGGTGCAGTCGGTGTTGTAAAAAGGAGGGGCAAACCCAACGAGACCCGGAGAAAATGAGGGGCAAGTTCCAGTGACTGTGGAGATGTCTTCTCGCATACGAAGTCTTGGTGATGCCAAGGTAACCTTCTAGGACTTCTCTTCAGTGATTCGGGTCGTGATGCGACATGTACTGCTGTTTACAATTGCTAACGTCGAGGTCAGCAAGTTGGACGGTACTGCTGCACGAGACGGGCAAGAGTTTGTAACCCACCTGTCGAAAGTACTGTTGTCAATCTTGGCAGCTGTCAGATTGTCTGTCGATGCTTCTGATATCGATGTCGGTCCCGAGAGTAAATCGATGTTGTTTCGTTAGGCGAACTCAGGACAAAGAAAGTGGCAATAGGGATAAGACCACGACCTCTCTCTCTTGGACCAGACGCTTGGAACCCTTCCGGAGCTTCTCGACGTTCTACTGTGTAAAGAATGTGTAGGGAGAGACGTTCCAGGTCTGAAGATGGATTGACAGCTGATAATGTAGTGATTTGAGGCCGAGGATCCACCTGAAGAAAGCTTATCCCACAGGTTGCTGAATTGTAAAGTTCTCAGGGACCTGATGTGACCCTTAATCCAGCCGTGAACAGGTAGCTACTATGAAAGATGAAGGGGGTCGAATCAATATGAGCAACTCCAGGGCTTCGTGATTGTTGAATCATCAGAAATGCTCAGAATTTCTTGAAAAGAACAAGTTGGTGTTGGGGTCGTACAGGCAGGCACGATGTCATCGAGGACATCCGCTGTGGAGTCGACTGTTCTCAGCGGCTCGTTCCTTTCCAGCAGTCACTGGAAGGGAAGGAGCGACATTGTTCCAATACAACTTCCTTCCAGGTTCTTGATTCTCACATAACCAACAGCCAAAACTCATCGTCATTCCGGCACGTCTCACCCGATCCACGTGGAACCATTTCGACCTCGCTCTCGCACTCAGGGCACACAAAAGAAGCAGGTTGTTCTCGTAGGACCTGCGTAGGACTCCAGGTCTGACGATCCACATCCTAAATGCAGGACCCCTGCCGAGTGGCTGAGCAGCTCTGTGCCTCGAAGCGGCATCTGAACCAATCATTGTCTCACACTAAACTCCACATGAGGCTTCAGAACTCAGCCGCAATTCTGCGACTTTCACCGCATCAACGTCCTCTTTGAGACAAGATCAGGAACGGATGTCATACGGGAACGCGGCAATGCCACGCCGCCACGGCAGTCTGGTAGAGCCAGATCAATGTGAAGATGTGATTGGTGTGTTAGGATATCAGAGATGATTGTTGATGGCGTCGTGGAACTAGTGTTCCTGGACTGCGGTGCAGATGCTTGGATGACAATGCGGCTCACATATTTGGACTCGCATTCCCAGCATTCATTCCTCGGCGCGACTTTTCAACATTGTGGTACGTAAGGGCCAAGATTTCCAAGGCCAGATGCTGTCAGCGCTGCTTGGAATCGACGACAACATCCCTTGACCGACTTTTGCTCACAAGAAAGCACAGTCGTCACTCGCGGCTCGAACAATGATACGCGTATCTCGCATGTCTTGGATCTACAAAGACTCCACAGCAAGCATGTCGACCTCGGTCCGCAACTCCACGCATATCCGATGCTCCAGAGTCCACGCGAGTCATTTCCATTGCCGTCTTCCGCCAGCAATGTGGATTTCTGAGAGCTCCGTGGGCTACTCAAGACAACATAACAACATATTTCTCAACAATCCCACAAGAAGCGCCAGTGGTTTAGTGGTAAAATCCATCGTTGCCATCACGACTCAGTGATAAACTCGATGGGCCCCGCGTTCGATTCGCGGCTGGCGCATTGTTTCGAGTGATCATCTGATCTTATTTTTTTGGTCTTTTTTACCAGGAGTTGTCTCCTTCCGGTGCGTCAAGGTCTGAACACTGAGCTGGCAAGGCCGGGTTCTGTCGTTTTTATTACGCGAGAACTACCAAGGGAAACCATCACTGTGTCCGGCTTCTTAAGCATTATTGCTGTGACTCGGGATGTCTTGAAGAGTGCTCGACATGCATGTTGAAGGAGTACAAGGGGGCTGCTGGTGTGATCAGAGGGCCCCTGGTTTGACTGTATCCTACCCAGGAATCAGCATCTTATCTACAGTCGTCACCATCTTTTTCTCTCACGTATCAATTGCTACGTACCGTTCCGAATGGTAGTCAGGGGGCGAGATATATGCTTGGAAAATGCAAGAAACTCATGGCCAGGATATCCAGCACGTGGAGACCATAGGCACATAACCATCGCCAACAATTCAAGGCTTCGAGAAGACAGCCCTGTGCCCTTACCATGAGGCGGTGGGGTGAGAACAACACTGAGCTGTTGTCTAAGGAAGCCTGTCGGGTGGTGTTGGTCTGGTAAGATATCTGAGATCTCTTAGAAACCTACGACAGCCAAACACGACAGGTATCGAGGACAGCCCACCCTACGATACGGTCAGGAGAACGCATACCGAGTGATACCGGAGGGATGCATACAGAACTAGCCATTAACCGCCAGCACGTCATCTCCAGCGAGGTCAAATGCTCACCAAAACGAAATGCTGTCGTTCAGTATGTGCAACGGCTCTTTCTCCCCGTTGCTGGACCTATGCTGACCGGTGGATTGAAGCAGCACCGACATGAACCGAACGACCTGTCGAAAACTGCGACTTTTTGAGTTTCTTCCACGCCGGCTTCCCAGACGGACAGTCCAGATCACATTTCCCATGCTTGTCGGTATGCTTCCTATGCACCTGTGCTACCTCTTTAGCCCATTCTGCCTTGGGTAGAATCACACCAGATTTGGTCAACAGCCTGATCACGCCAACCGACCACCAAGTCGCACAGTTTTCGTGAGGGCTGTGCACACCCACCCCGCCGCGGCATATCTCCATGCGAATTTCATCCACGACTACTGGCTTTGCCGGAAAGAAGGTCTCGAATATAATCTGGTTGGATTGCTACTGCTGGTCATTCTGCTGGTCATTTGCTGGTCGCTACGCTCGTCTTCGTCAATCATCCACTCATCCAAACTCTTGCGGTCGGCGGATTCGTTTTCTTCAGGCTCAATAGGCGGCAGGGACCTGATAGTCATCTCGCCGATACCGGTCATGTCAAGCCGGAAATATTGCCCTTTTGTCGTTTCGAGGTGAATAGTCCAGTGGTTCCAGAAGAGCTTCTTTGGGTCGATACCGCAGACAAGGTGGACACAGGTAACAACATGGATGGGCGCCTTGGGGCTGCCGAAAGTGCGAGTGTCGGTAAAACGTTGTGCGAGGAGTTGCCATGTGACTCCGTGGACTTTGCCCTGAGGTACACGATTGTACTTTGAGTTACGAGGATTTTGGTTCATCTTGGTTGGACTCGGCTTGAGCGGTCCCTGCTATCTTGAAGTCTGCTTGCTCGGACCACAACCCGTGGTGAGAGTGCTCTCAAAGTCTGGAGTACTGCTAAGAATCACGTTGGCTACGAAGGCCGGAGGCATTAGGCTACACAATTCCAGATCGCCGGTGTTTCCATGTGGGTTTCGGCTCTTATATGCAGTTGCCACGGTCGTTCCCATGTTCTTTGAGGTGAAGTCACCTTCGGGATGTGTTTGTGCCACTTACAGTTGCTCCAGTTCAGTCGTAAAAACTCCATAAAATGGTCATGGGAAACCCAAGCGTTGAAAGAATCAGAGGCCTGTGACCTGCTCATCCGGCCATCATAGGGACGAGATCTAGCAACAACTTCATCCCGCGGTAACGGCAGGCTGACCCGGAAAGAAGCAGCGTCGGTCGCTTTTGATAGTGTATGGTCTGAACGTATATATAGGCCAACAGACTTGAGCATATATTTACAAGGGTCATCACGTTGTATATTGGCAAATACTGGTTTTCATCTACTTGGCGAACTATGCTGGTAGTGCCGTGACAGTCCCCTGGACACCTGTCCCAGCCCCGACAGCCCTATTCAACTAGTCCCGGTATCACTCTGCCCTGCTGTCTCTGCTTTCCCAGCCACTAGGCCCCAGATCCATCATGCAGATCACACTTGCCATGATCCTTATTTTGCCGTGCGTTTATCGTCTTTATCTCCTCCGCGGTTCCCTCCCATTCGGGCCAGTCCTTTTCCACCTCAGCTTCCCAATCCCCTGTCACCTACCCTTGCCATCCTCTTTCACCTTGAGCTGGATCAATTTCCTCTTCGCAAGGAGTAGAAGCACATCGGCTGACCAGTCTGCACACTCCCTCTCAATACCGTGCGGTTCCTTGATTCCTTTCGATATCGCCTCGATGAATTCCGTGGCGCTTGCTTCCTTCGCACATCTGAAGAACATGCATTCACATACACAGGGTATTGCCCATTGGCGCATCACCTTCCACTTTGGCTCGTCGGCCATCACTTCGAGCGCGCAAGGCAGATGCTTGTACATTAGCTTGCCCAGACCAGTCATGTCGAGACGGATGTGTTATTCCTTTTGCCCAATTGCCAGGTGGATGCTCTAATGGTTCCAGAAGAGGTGTGTTGGGTCCTTGCCGTGGAGTAGTCGCACCTCGCGGACCTTGTAGTCGTTACTGCTCAGATGGTGCCAGTCGGGGTCGATCGTGTTGGCAATGCTCCTGCAAGTAACTCCCATGTCTCATCGTTAACTCTACCAAGCCCTCGGCGGTGGTACCCGGGCGCAATATTTCTGGCTGGAGTGTACCGCATGGTTGCGTTCTGCGTCGTCGCGCCTGTGAAGGTGGCCATATTCTGCTGCTTGATCGGACCAGACAGTGCTATAATCTGCTGGTTGGAGGCCTGCTGGTTGGAGGCCTGCTGGTTGGAAGCCTGCTGGTTTGACTTCGGCCGACTGGAAGCCAGCTGCCTCGATGCGGATGGTCTCAGCCCTTGCCCTCTCGAGCGCGGCTTATTCGAACCTTTGCTCGGACCGCAACCCATCGCGACCACGTGTTGGAATTCTTGCTAGTGTGAAGAACTACTCAACTGCTCTCTGTGTGAAGTATTGCTCTCCGCTTGTGGTGTAAGGAGTGTAGGGACCTTATAACTGGCCCAGCGATTTCGGGGGTTTATATGAGTAACCCACATAGCTGTCCTCACGCTATGTTTCTTTCAGACTCATCAGCTGCGAAAGTGTACTTAGCAGTTGGACTCCTTCGTAACTTGAAATCTAATGTCAAAGATATGTGAAAGGCTACGTGGCCGGTGACCTAGGCATATGGCCATTATAGTGACTACGGCAATCTATATATTCAGGTTGGACGTCATGTCTAGGACATACCCACCTAGGGGTATAGCAGAGAATATATTTGGCTTGCCATCTGATGTAATACTTTGAAAGAAATTTGAATACCTGAAAGACGCCTCGTAAAAAGGGGCACGGAATGGTCAGGAGGCAGACGTGCTAGAACCAACCACAGGTCTAACGCCCAACTAACATTTCATCGATATGATCGCCCCGACTAAAGCGGGCGCAGGTTGTCAAACTAGACAGTAAGGAGGGTATGAATAACATCGTGCCTATCACTAACTCACTATGTGGCCTGAGTAGAAGCGGAACACACATCTGGCACCAAGTGATGCTGTTTTAATTGCTGATACTAATCCGACCAGTTCCACAGGATCTCTAACCTAATTTTAGCGCTCTAAAGGCCCGACATATGGCCCTTCACGTTACGGGATGTTAGGCTGCCATGATGATTGAGCTCAAAGGCGCTGTGTTCGGGGCTGCCGTTGACCTTGTGCTCGCAGCTGCTTCTGTGCTTGTCGTAGTCTCTGGGTGCGTTATGTCTGGAGTCGTTCCACTTGAAATGGGTAAGATCATTAGGTTAGTTCTCTAGGCTATCTTCTATTGGAAGCACTTGTGCTAGCAGGTGCTCCAGGGATGTCACCGACTCGTCGAAGCCACCAGCGACTTTTCTCCAGTTTAGCCTCCCAGACTCATCGTCCAGATCACACCTTCCTCCATCAGCGGCCGACTTCTTGAACTCTTTGATCATCTCCTGGCTATTCCACCCCTTTCTGGGGCATATCAGATTCCTCCTGATGAAGAGATCGATCACCTGTGCCGACCATGCTGCACACTCTTTCTCAAGTCTGGGCTCTAACCTTTCTCCATATCGTTTCTGCAGGTCTTCGGAAAGGTCGAGCATGGTCTTCGCCGATATTGCTTGAAGGAATTCGGATACCGTTCGATTTACGGTCACTCCATTGACTCTCTGTTGCGGCGTGAAAGAATTGTCCCACGGGCCTTCCTCGCTTGTTATCCACAGGGGCCCTATCCACTCGGCCATACCCTCGTGCCTGGTCATCTGGTACCCCTTAGTCTGACAATGATGGGCAGCATGATCTCGAATGGGGCACACGAGCTTGGTGGTCATGGTTTCAGGACTAGTCATATCGAGCCGAACGAATCCCCCTTCGAAAATCTGGAGCTGGACGCTCCAGTGATTGCACGACACCTTCTCAGGATTGTCGTCAAGGGCGAGGTAAACGGCCAAGACATGGAGGCTATCGCTGTTCGCAACCTCCCAGTTCTGTTTAATAAGGCGGACATCGTGGCCTGTCAGGAACTACTCCCACTGTTCGTCAGATACCACGCCTTGTACCTTGCGATCCAGAATGCTCGGAGGGTGATCAGTCGAGCTCTGCCCAGTTGAAGTGTGCGTATCGGCATGTTGTTGTTCGGGGGGGTTGTAATTGGTCGCGGTCTTCTTGCCCCGACATTTCTTCTTATTCTTCTCCGAGTCAATTTTGCTCGAATCATCCTTCCTGGAGCTGTTGCCCATTGAGAGCGGTGTATTTCAGATCTTGGAGCAAATCTTATCAACTTTGTCAACT